ACTTGCAACACAGTAAGGTGATACAAGAGTTCTACGACACTTGCAACACAGTAAAGTGATAGAAGAGTTCTACGACACTTGCAACACAGTAAGGTGATACAAGAGTTCTACGACACTTGCAACACAGTAAAGTGATAGAAGAGTTCTACGACACTTGCAACACAGTAAGGTGATACAAGAGTTCTACGACACTTGCAACTCAATAAGGTGATACAAATGGCTTCCTCAGAATTACAAAGCTCTATCTGCTCAGTAACTACTTTTGAGAAATGTGACGTAAAAATTGTTGTTTCACAACATGTCAAGCTTTTTCGAACGCAATTCTTTGAATATGTTGATAATGACTCCGGAAAATCTTACGATTTTGATATAGCAGATAGAATATTTGGATTCTGACCTTGTGGTCTTAGTAACTCAAAACGGCCAACACTGTCAGATAAAACTTTGTAATTCTGAGGTAGCAAAATAAGGAAGATTAGAGTATTTAGAGGTGTTTCAAGAGAGTAACAAACACCCCCCCCCCCAAAAAAAAAGGAGGATGGAAGATAAGGACGAGATTATGTTTGATAGGAAAGAAGGAGGCTTTTGTTTCTATGTGTGTGGGGTGCAAATTTACAGGGGACTGATGGGAGGGGGATGATTGTGAGTAGGGTTTTTTTTTAGGGTGGTAGAAGGGGAGGGGATGTCTTTTACATTTTTGTTCATTTTCACTAGTTATTTTTGTACTTTTTTTCTTTCCCTCTGTTGTCTCAACCAACCAACCAAACCAACCAAACCAACCAACCAACCAACCAACCAACCAAACAACCAACCAAGTAAGCAACCAACCAATCAACCAACCAAGTAAGCAACCAACCAATCAACCAACCAAGTAAGCAAGCAACCAATCAACCAACGAACCAAACAACTAAACAAACGAAAACCAAAGAAATAACCAACCAAACAATCGACTAACCAAACAATGACCAAAGAATTAACCAAACAGCCAAACATCATCATGTTAGATTATCATCATCATCTAGTGCCAGATCTGCGGCAGACATCGGCGATCATGGTTCTCCTTTCATTCTCTTTTCTGGAATACTCTTAAAAAAAGCTGCGTTTCCCTGATCTTTCCCCGTTACCCATTTGTTTACGTTCCCCAAGTAGGTTTCTCTGGGCCTATCCCTGCCTCGTTTGCCTTCAATTTTGCCCTTTGAGAATTAGATGTTTAAAACTTTTATGTTCATTCAGGTGTCCCAAAAACTGCCTTTGTGGCTTCCTGATTGTTTTTAATAGTGAGCGTTCTACGTGGGCTTCATCAAGCACTACCTCATTTGGTTTCTATTCCTTCAACGACATTCTCAGCAGTATCCTAAGAAACAACATTTGTGTTGCTTCTATTTTAGTTTCATTGTCTTTAGTAGTGATTGTCTAGCATTCACAGACAAACAACCAACCAAATAACCAACCATCTTGCCCTCCCCCTCTCCGCCCCCTTCAGGGTCTGGACATGTCTTCCATCATCATGGCCTGGTGTTTTGCCGTGGCCAGTCTGGTGTGGACCATCGGTCACGTGAGCGGATGTTTTCTCAACCCGGCTATCTCAGTGGCCATGTTCGCTAACAGACGCATACCTTTTGTCAGGTGGGCGCAATAAAAAAATAATGATAATTATTAGATCTAGATCTATCATTATTTTCATCACATTTCTATCATTTTTTACCCCTTGATCTTCTTTTCCTGCAGAAGGTGGAGGGTGGGAAGCGAACACAAAACCGCTTGAGGCCAGGCGCATTCTCACCTTTAGATCCTGTGTCTTCTTCTACCATCTCATTCACAAGTCACCTGTCAGCTGTCGGAGCTCAGCGGAGAACCGGTCTGTGCGGGAGGGTTATCATTCAGACGTCATTTCCCCAACTTTCGATGGCCTCGAAGTCCACTTGCTGGGTGTAAAATATGAAGTACAATCGAACCTCGCAATTCGGATAGATCTAGATCTAGATCTAGGTTGGAATATATGATCAGAGGATACGGACTGCTTCACCTAAAAATAGAGTTTTCACGCGGCAAGCAGGGAGGGAAGCCTCACTACATGCCATACATTGACGAACAAAATTTATTATGGCATAGACCACGTGAGGACTCTTCTTGTTCAAGTGCAACGAAGATGGGATGAATGTGGCTATTCTCTTTCGCTCTACGAGATATTTAAAAACTTCTAAGCGAACTGTAAAGATAGTTAGGAGGAAGTACAACACAATACAATGCTGTGGGACGTCTCCTGCGACACTACTTAATTCCTCTTCCCCTTCATCCTAGAGCGAAAACTGAGAACGATTTTTGCCGGACTCGGAGAGGCGCCAGGAAGATGCCGAGCGGGCGATCCAAGAAATGGAAGAGGGGTCTGTCCAAGGCGGACTTTGCCGAGAGGACGCTGAAGGACACCAAGTCTCACGGCTTCCAGAACCGCCTGGGCAAGACAATCAAGAACAACGTTGACCTGATTGGCTGGCACGAGGTGTCGCACGTGCACTTTTACCGCCAGCTCCTGGTCGAGTTCTTCGGCACCTTGTGCCTGGTGGTGATGGGCTGTAACTGCATCACGCCCTACAGCTCCATACAAACTGACGCGGTGAGCTCTTATACGGGGTGCCCACTACGGCTGGGATCAGCCGATCGGACCAATCACCCGACTCGATCGCTTCAAAAACAAACGCCCGATCCAGCCGTAATGGGCACCCCGTATAAGGGGTTTGGGTTTATTGGGGTTTTGTTTTGTTTCCACACTAACCACCCACGAAATCCCCCTGAGAGAGACGTCTCTTTCTTCCCGCGACATCCAAAAGGGTATAAGCGGGGGATAAAAGTAAAAAGTAAAGTAAAGTTTTGTTTCCGTAAGAGTTTCACGGCACTTGCAACACAATAAGGTCGTACAAGAGTTTTATTGCAATACAATAAGGTCATACAAAAGTTTCACGACTCTTGCAACTCAATAAAGTTATACGAGAGTTTTATTGCAATACAGTAAGCTCTTACAAGAGTTTTATTGCAATACAATAAGGTCATTCGAGAGTTTTACGGCTCTTGCAACATAATAAAGTCATACAATAGTTTTATTGCAACACAGTAAGGTCATACAAGAGTTTTATTGCAACACAGTAAG